TAACCCAAAGCACAATAAATACCCAAAACCCTAAGTACAGGTTTTGTTCACACCAGTCACTCTTCCTCATTTGAAACAAGGTCTTCTTCTTCAATGCCCTCATCTAGGGGGGTCTAGGCTACGTCGTCTTCATCAATCCTTACACCGCTAAGGTCCAAGTCTGGGAACAGTTCTTCTGCCTTCTGCTTGAACATCTTCCAGCCACTGTCCTAGAACTCAGCCATTTCGTGTTTGTAGAAGTCCGACCGCTGGAAGCTCTCAATAACTTCTGCTTCAGTCCTGTCCCCAGCGGTCGTTCCCGATGGGCCCACCCCCCTAGACACCTTCCTTGCCAAGTTGTTGGCGACCGCGGCATCGACTGCCATCTGAAATTCAGCAGACCCCTTGAATTGCTCTACTGCCGCAATGCACAGATCGGGGTATGCTGCTCTTTCAGAGGCTGCCTTGGTTTTTTCATCCTCCAGCTTCTTCTGCAACCTTGCCTTCTCCTCCATCGCCCCACCACGCTCATCCTCCAGCTCCTTCTGCAGCCCAACAATCTTCACGTCCGCTTCATTCTTCTCTTTGATCTGCTGGGCTCGCAATTCTTCATTGTTGATCATCGCCTCTTTAAACCGCTTGGTGGCGAGAGTGCAGGCATTTTGGGCATCCCCCAGCTTCTTTTGCTCGCCAGCCAGCTGGAACTTGAGTGACACTACCTTGCAGCGTTCATCCTCTAGCTCCAACCTGACCGCCAACAGCTCAGCATGGGCACGGTCAACAAGCCCTGCACGATCGCCAATACTTCCATCTTTTTTGCCTTCTCAGCCTCCTGCCAACCCCTGGCACACGCGCTTCGCGCAGCCTTCTTCCAGCTTGCACTCTCTTTCTTGAAACTTGTAAGCTGGGCCTTAGCCTCCTCCGACTTGACCTTCGCAGCCGCTAAGGTAGTTACCTCCATTTGGGCAGAGCACAACCCCCTTAGCAGCTCAGCCTCATTGAACCTGGAAATCGAGCGCACGGCTGCCTCGTCTATAATCCCCACAAGGCGATCTGCAACCGCCCTGGCTGGGCCTTCTTCTCCCTCCAGCCGCCCAGATACGGCGCGAGTGTGGTAGATTGCAGTCGTCAGCCTGGCCCTTTCTCCTTAGGGCGCAGGGCCCCCCTTGGGCTGCTGCTCCATCACTTCCTTAGGGTCAGCCGACCCACTTTCTAGTTGCACCTTGGGGTCCAGGGCACTCGCAGGCCTTTCTTCCTCTAAGACCCCTTGGCTCTTCTCCCCCTGCGCTTCTGGGACGACGACCGCTTCTGGAGTAGCCTCTACCCCTTTCTCCCCTGTTTCCTCCGCCATTGGAGTGCCCTCACCGCCCACCCTCGCCGCCCTCTTCGACTCAGGCACATCTGAGACCCCCTCAGGGGCAACCCTTCTCTTCTTCTTCTTCTTCAAGACCTCCCCCTCCTTGTTTGCCCTTTCCTTCACTGGATCAACGGGGGGCGGTCATGGCTCGAAACTGCCCAAGTCTTTTCCCCCCAACGGCTTGGGGCGTGGTCGGATTCTTTCCCTCGTGACCGGTTTTGGTGGCGGGCCTAACTGCACTTCCTTGAACTTATTGGCTTTGGCAAAAATGGCTCGGTCCTTCATCTCTTGCGCTTTCTTCTTCGCTTCAAGCTCTGCCGGTGCCAGATCCCCACCGGTCGGCTGAGGGCCTAATCCTGCGGCAAACAAAGCTGATGGCTGAACGAGGTCGTCCGATCTGACCCCCTCCTTCTCCCTCCATGCCTTCACCTTTTTCACGCTCTCCTCCGCTGCAGCCCCCCACTTTGGCTCCATAGACTTGGTGGGTACCCTCCACACCGTGCGTACTCCAACTCCGCCGTTCGCAGATACGTAGAACCACCGCGGCCTCCATCATTTAATTGATGACGGCAACCCCGCCACCAAACCCCTTCCTGCTACCGCCTGCAAAGTGACCCAAGTTTCTTGCTGGCCCGAGGCCTTATAGCAGGCAAAAAACTCATCCACCGTCATGGCCGCTCCCTCGTTCGCCTTCGGCCACGCACTTGCATAGGCCAGTACAATCTTCCATGCGTTGGGCATTAGTTAGCCTGGCGCGACTTTTAGTCGGTTGAGGACATCCACTACCACCTGTGGAAGCGGTAACCTCAACCCTCCCTTCAACGCCTCTTCGTATAGGGCAAACTCCCCTGGCCGGGCGTCGGAAGGCCTCTCCGTTGTTGTCGGTAACATCAACTCTATTTCTTCAGGCACCTGGTATTTTTTTCGTATACCCTCCAACTCCTCCGCTGTAACGGTTGACTTGTCAGCCTTCGTATGCCAGTGATTTGGCTCAACTTGGCTGATTGGTTTCGGAGCCACTATCATCGTCAACGGACGAGCTAAACCCGCCGGCTCCCCTAATTTCTCCACTTGCCTCTCTCTCCTATATCGTTCTGCCAGGTCCACCACGTCATCATCTCCTAGGGGATCAACCCTTGCGGTGGTTGCTTCCTCTTGTGCCATCCTTATTGTATGTCTTCGAATAGCTTCGGATGCGGGTGCAAGAAAATTCCAGAAGTGTTACAGGGGTGTATCGTTGGCAACGAAGGAGTTTACGCTGGAAATGTTTTAATGTTTTGCAAAGAGATAGGTAAAGCGAGTAATCCCAAAGGCCCAAGGTTTGCCCGTATTCCAAGGGTCTGTATTAAATTTCGCTAGTTTGAAAATTTTTCAAAAAACCGCCAACACTGTCTTTTCAACACCCTATAATGACCTATCGTTTCACTCCTGGCCCAACGCCTGACCTCCCCCCACCAGATGCTGCCACGTGTACGACCACGATTCACTGCCCCCCTTCCCACTTCCAGTCGTCACGTGACCCGCCGCCTCTCGAGCCACGTGCCCCGCCACCCTACCCTTCGCGGTCGGCTCTCCTTATGGTCGGTCCCTCCACTCGACTACCCTTCACGGTCGGCCTTCCTCATGGTCGGTCCCTCCACTCGGCTACCTTTCGCGGTCGGCGCTCCTCATGGTCGGTCCCTCCACTCGGCTACCCTTCGCGGTCGGCCCTCCTCATGGTCGGTCCGCCCGCTCGTCTACCCTTCATGGTCGGCCCTCCTCACGGTCGGTCCCTCTACTCGGCTACCCTTCGCGGTCGGTCCTCCTCATGGTCGGCCCCCCCGCTCGTCTACCCTTCATGGTCGGCCCTCCTTACGGTCAGTCCCTTCACTCGGCCACTTTTGGTCGGCCGTTCCTTTCACTATTTATTCCCTTCATTGGACTAAAACTGCACTTGGGAATGGGAGACTACTGACGTGGATAGGCTCATAAAACCCATAACCCACTATGAAGAACTCAAGCCTACTACTTAGGGCCCAATGCATAACCCAACTGATAAGGCCTAGCACGGCTGGAAGTCACCATGACATGAAGAACCAATGATCTTCGACATGTGGCAGATAAAGGGCAAGTCACATCAGCAGACAAAGATCTGCAAAGTTATTGCCACTATATATCGCCATTAATGCAACCCCTCACAGTATTTATTACGACAACACCTCTCCGTCCGGACAGCACACCCTCACCCTGAACAAGGTAAGTTACAGTATAGACTTTTGGCCAAGGTGACAGGTCAGAAGGGACAACGAAATGATTATCAAAGGATATAAGCAGACGTTGAAGACAAGAAGAAGGTTAAGCTTTCTATCTCTAATCTATCTACAAACTCCACTCTCTCTCTCTAACTTGCTCGTCGGAGGGTTCGCTGGGGACTTTTCGTTCCCCGTTAAACTCGTGTGCAGGTTCTCTGGTGGATTTGATTATTCAGATATTAGGCTTGAAAAGTGTGAATTAGTCTATCCTGTCCTACCATCATTATTATATCATCAAGTCTTAACCCGTTTATTTTTTGTAACATCTTTAATGTATTTATGTATTGTGTCAAAATTTCCGACACCTGGTTAAAGCTGTGGGAACTGGCAGGTAGCCTTACTCGCACTTTTCAAATAGAAAAAGTTAAAAATCACAGAAATTGAACATAGACATATTTGTGACTGCATGTTTCTCGTTTTTGCGTGCGTTAGGTTGGTCAAGTGTACACATTTAGGTTTGATCGGAGAATTTGATGAGAAAAAAGAAAAGATAAAATAAAAATGTAATTTCATTTTTTATTTTGTTATAATGAAAAATACAAGAAAAGAAGAAAAGAAAAGTGAGAAGAAATATAATCCTATTTTTTATCTTTTGATTCGCTTAGACTTTTTTAATTTTTTTTTTCATTTCAACTCAATCAAAAATAATTTAGAATTCGAATCCTATTCTTGTTTGTTTTCATTTTGCAAATAACACTTCTTAGAAAATTCTACATTCTTATTTTTCGTGTTTTTTTGTTTTTACTAAATTTTTTTAATATTTTAAATAATTTTTTTATTTTTTAGACACACCTAACATAAATACACCTAAAAAGTAAAAAAATTATAAAAAAAATATTTTAAAAATTCACTAAATACCAAAAATACAAAAAAAAAAATACAAAAAATAGTACATTTTTTGTATTTTTATGTATTTATTAATTTTTTAAAATATTTTTTCACAAATTTTTTATTTTTTAAATACATCTAACTAAGGTGTATCTAAAAAAGTAAAAAAAAGTTTAAAATTTAAAAAATATTCACTAAAAACAAAAGAATATGAAAATCAAAAAACTCAATTTTTAAAAAACTTAATTCAGAAAACTCAAACCAAACACACTTCTTTCTCATTTTCTTCCTATTCCCCTTTTCATTTTCATTTTATTTATTAAATCCTCTTATCAAACACATCCTAAGAGGAGGACTATTAAAATATCACAAAAATAACTATACACAGTATATTCAGATGTAAGACAAAAAAATATACCTACTCCTAAGTGTTTATCTCACATCTTTACATTCTACAATAATTTTTATCTTAGTTACGTCTGTACATTCTGTTATTGGTTATCTAAACTTTGTGATATTAAAAAGCATAATAATAATAATAATACCTTCTGTAGCAAAGAAGACTTCTTGTGAAGAATCATCATGGATACCCAAGGAATGGAACCAGATAGTATACCCATCACTATCGCAGCCCACGATTGCACTACTCCTGCAATTCAAAACCCCCCCTTCTCCAATTTAATAATTATGAAATTCTCTACTCATTTTTTTAATGAATAATTATTGAATAATCTCGAAATATCTTATAACATTATTCACATAAATTAAGAGCGAACAATGTAAATTCACATTCGTCAGATAATTAAGAGATAAAGAAGCGAATTCTTTGTCACATACCTGCACCTGGAGTAATGCAAACGAGGCCGGTCATCATGCCTTGAACAGCTCCGATCACCGATGGCTTTCCAAAGAAGAGAACGTCGAGCGATGTCCATACGAGAAGGCTCGTCGCCGCACATATATTTGTGTTTAGTACAGCCATTGATGAATCGATGTTCGCTGCATATGGTGCGCCACCATTGAAACCCGACCAACCCATCCATAGCAACCCTGCACCCGCGAGCATCAACAACACATTGTTTGGGGGAAACCGCTCCCTGTCGCTTTTCAACCTCGGCCCAACCTAATGCCGCCCATGCGAAATTTTTTGACGTGTCAGTGATATTTTTGAAATTAATTACATAATTCGATGCATTTCCAATAAAAAAACGTGTTTTGAAATATTAAATACCCGAGGAATAATTTTACATGTGTTAAAGACTTAGAGATAATTTTATAATTGAAAAGTCAATATAAACAGATTAAATAATGAAAAAATAAAATAATATTTACTAATAGTTGAAAGGGTCTCTCAATGTAATTAACCCAACTGAAAAATGCACCATCATTTAAAAAAAAAAAAAAAATTGAAAAGGGGATATATTATGGATTTATTTATTTATTTATTTATTTTAAAGATGGGGAAATTATGGAATGTTACCCAATAGGCAGCGGTGAAACCAGCAATTCCAGAAGAAAGATGAATGACATAACCACCAGAGTAATCAATAACACCCCAATGAAACAAAAACCCACCACCCCACAAACTAAAAGCCCCAACAGTATACGAACAAACCAACCACATCGGCACAAAAGCCATCCACGCCCTTATATCCATCCTCCCCAACACCGACCCTGCCAACAAAATCATCGTAATCGCCGCAAAATTAAACTGAAAGTACACCAACGACGCCATCGGAAAAAAAGGCTCAATCATGGGAGTCTCAAAGTGAGCACTCTCGGGCACGGCGGCACGGCGGACGAGGAATTGTTGGCCGAGAGAGGGGGCGGCTTTGCCCCAAAATGGGAGGAGCTTATCGCCGAAGGCCATGCGATAGCAGAGGAGGACCCAGAAGAGGAGCACGGCGGCGAAGGCGTATAGAGCCATGAAGGCTGAGTTTACGGCCCATTTTTTTTTGACGATGCTGGCGTAGAGGATGACCAGTCCCGGCATGCTTTGGAGGCCGACGAGAGTTGATGCTGTCATTTGCCATGCGTTGTCGCCTTTGTTTAGCCATTCTGGGACTGCTGGGAGGTGTTCTGAGTATGCTCTTGGGACTTCCATTGTGGTTTTTGTGTGTCTTCGATTTCTTCACATGTATATATACGAGGACTAGAAGTAGTGGCGCACGTGATGCGTGCATTTATGATCTTTTTACTTTAAAAAATAAGATTGAAAATTATATAATTGAATTTAAAATTTAAAATAATTAAAAGTTGAGGGATTTGAAAAAATAAAAAAAAGTTTAATTTAGAGTATACCTATCTATATAAATGATATAAGGCTATTTAGAAAAAATTCTAAAATAAGAGACATAAATATTAAGAAAGTACTTTTCTTTATAATAGTACTAGCCTATCACTCATGCTATGCATGAGATAATTATAGATATTTATATTTGTTTTAGATTTTTTTAATATATAAATTATGTTTTTTAAGATTTGTAGCGGGACTGTAAAAAATAAAATTGAAAATTATATAATTGAATTTAAAATTTAAAATAATTAAAAGTTGAGGGATTTGAAAAAATAAAAAAAGTTTAATTTAGAGTATACCTATCTATATAAATGATATAAGGCTATTTTAGAAAAAATTCTAAAATAAGAGACATAAATATTAAGAAAGTACTTTTCTTTATAATAGTACTAGGCTATCACCCGTGTTATGCACAAGATAATTATAGATATTTATATTTGTTTTAGATTTTTTTTAATATATAAATTATGTTTTTTAAGATTTTTTATAAAAATAATTTAACAATCTTATCACTAATCATAGTGTATGAGAGAAGTTGAAAAGAGTACTGCAGTAATTATACACGGATTGTATCTATAATTATTTGTATGAAGGGATTTTAAATGCTGATCAAAGGATTTTGACCAAATCAATAAATACAGGCATATAGAAAGACATGTAGATTGAAAAAAATTAATAAATGCTGATCAGGAAATTTTGACCAAATCAATAAATGCTGAGTTTTTTTTTTTAAATAAAAAATTTAGAAAATTCAGATTGGGATATTGAAGCTCCCACAGGGCTTGGAGGTTAAAAACTCATTTTTGCTTAATATATAGTATAGATTTTTTATAAAAATAATTTAATAATCTTATCACTAATCATAGTGTATGAGAGAAGTTGAAAAGGGTACTGCAGTAACTATACACGGATTGTATCTATAATTATTTGTATGAGGGGATTTTAAATGCTGATCAAAGGATTTTGACCAAATCAATAAATGTAGGCATATGGAAAGACATGTGGATTAAAAAAAGTTAATAAATGTTGATCATGAAATTTTGACCAAATCAATAAATGCTGAGTTTTTTTTTTTTAAATAAAAAATTTAGAAAATTCAGAATGAGATATGGAAGCTTCCACAGGGTTTGAAGGTTAAAAACTCTCATTTTACTTAATATATTTTGATCAGCAAAGAAAAATTTCATTAAAAAACATGAAATTAAAAGTACAGAAAGATGACAAAAATCGAGAGAGATTTGAGAAAGTACAAACTATCCCTACTACTGCTACTCGTAACCATCTAACCAACCCCTCGGCCTCACGATATTTAAGATTAAAAAAAAAAAAAAAAAAAAAAAAAAAAAAGGTGAAGAAAGTATGATGAGTGGAGGAGTTGGTAATGGTGTGGGCTCATTCGAATTCATACGTTGATGGGCATTTTTGAAAGTCAAAAAGTCGTGCTAGGAATAAGGAGGAAGTGGCGGAGCAACGAAAGTTCGCGTGAAAAATCTCCGGTTTGGTTTACAACTTGAAAATTATTGACAAATTTATTTCTACGAGTGTACAACATTGCTATGTCTGAGGATTGCTTTGATTTAGTTGTAAAATCATAATTAGTGAAATTATTTGGTGAAAAATTAAATTATTATATTGAAAAAAAGTATTTTTTCATTTTTACTCACGAACACTTGATTGTCGGGAAATTCGCTAGAGGGGGTCAACAATGGCAACAACTGCCAATTGGTGTCGATATAGACAGATATGTAAATAGGTAAACAAATATGTGACACATGCATAGATAAATTAGATGAACAAATGATTATGCCATGATATTTTATGTTTCTCCTAAATAAAATAAAATAATAAATCTCTAAAGAATTGAAGTGGGGAAAACGTAGATTGTCATCCAAACTTTTAATTTTAGGCAAGTCAAAATCTTCTCGAACATATACTATTCAAAAAGAAACTGCCAAGAAACTATGAGAATGAAGACCTTCAATGTTCAGCTGCCATGTTTTTCTTCCTTGTGATCATTAATTTCTTTTGTTTTCTTATCCTCTCTTTCTGTCTGGTGCTCTAAGTCAAATGCATGTACAATTGCTTCATAAAGTTTCAATTTTCAAATCAAGGTACCATTGTACTGTCCTACCACGAAAACTAATCTGCTATGGGAATACAAAAATGCCACGTTGAACAAAATTTTGCTCACTTACAAAATGTTTCCCAATGTTTTGTTGTTAACAAATAATTTTAAATGTTGTGCTAATTACGAGAGTTGCGTATGAACTAAGACCTATTTTAAGATGTCTTTTTTTTTAACTTAATGATTTTTTTTTAAACGTGCATAAAAGTAGAAATGTGATATGACCTAAATAAATTAATAAGTTAATAATTTTTTTTTTGTTAGTTGCTAAAATAGGCCTAAGGCCTCGTTTGGGAATAGACTAATTTAGTAACTTTTTTGGTTATTTGGTTAAAATATGAGCTAAAAAAAATTAGTATGTTTGGGATGACTTTTTGACTTTTTACAAAAAGATGTGCAAAAAATAGAGAGAAAAGATAATTTTTGACTTTTTGGTATGAATTGTTGGCTTTTTAATTTTTTTTTTGACTTTTTAACTTTTTGACTAAAAAAGTCATTTGCCAAACGAGACTTAAGTCAAGTTATTAATGCCAAATATTAATCAAACTGGAGCTTCACAGTTTGAATTAGAAGAAAAGAAATAGCATTATTGTAAGCATTGTGGTCATTTTTTGATAAATAATGCCTTAATGCCTTCATTATTGGTGAAACACTTTCAGGGCATGTTTGATTGGGTGGATTAGAGCATGGGATTAGGATTATTAATCCGTGGGCCCAATTATCTCATGTTTGTTTTAACATTTTGGTTTAGGATTATTAATCCAATGGATAATTAATCCAACAAATTTGTAGGATTATTAGTAATGGGGTAGGGGTGGGATTATTAATCCAATGGATATTAATCCAATTGGATAGTGAATCCTACACTAATTTAATAGGATTATTAATACTTCACTATTAGTCTTTTGAATCAAACATGACCTCAGTGTCTAACTAGTCTTTTAAAAGGACAAGAACTATATAAATCATTTCAAATTTCCTTAGTATTTTAAAACTTATTTATTTTACTATAATATCTTTATATATGTGTGTGTATCATATTGTAATCACTCTCTCATTTCAATCTCTCTTTTCTTTGTCTCACTCTTATCATTGTTGCTCTCCATCAACACCATTGCCGCTCTCTACAAGCTCCACTGCCATTCACCGTGAAACCCTTTCTCTACCATCTTTATTGCCACCATTACTCGTTGCATCCACAATCTCAGATTTGAGATCATTCACAGTCGTTATCGCCGAAAAATGACGGTTTGCGATGGTTCGCAAACCTTAAATATGAGATCCTTCACTCTCTTTCTCTGGTTCTGATGGTTCGTACTCTCTCTATGTATGTATGTATGTCACTCACCATTTATGCTCTCTCTCTCTCTCTCTTCTTATTCTTCTTCTTTTCATGATGCTATGTTTTCGAACTCTGTCTCTCTATCTCACTTTCTTTTTCTCATGATGCTTTATTCTTTGAACAATAAAATTTTACTCAGGTTCATGACACAATACTCTCCTGTAAAGCTATCCTCGCAGCTTGTTTCAAAGTAAAATTTTATTTTGAATCATAATAAACTTTACTCTGATTTAAAGTAAAATTTTACTCTATAATAAAAAAATTTAAAAAGTAAAATTTTACTGTCGCTAAGCAGATCAACATGTTGTTAATCAGAGTAAAATTTTACTGTTACAGAAAACATATTACATATTAAGTGAATGAACAAGAGTCAAATTTTACTTTGAGATTTATGAACAAACAAACAAAAAAAACTCTTGATTTTTTATTGTAATATCTCAATTTTTCATTTTTTTGTCAAATCTAAGGTGGTTTTTTTTTAATCTCAAATTTGAAGTTATTGATATCAAATATGAGTTCATAGATATCAAATATAATATGGTGGTGATTGGACTTTAAAAATGGTGGTTCCTAGTAGACAATGAAAATGGTGGAGGTGATAAACAACCGTCGAATTGGTGGAGAAAGAGAGAGATTGCTGTAAAAGAAAGAGAAGAAACAAAGGGTATAATGATCAAATAAAATATTCAAATAACAAATTTTATCCTTCATACAAGATTTTATAATTATGAAGAGGTTTTAAAAGTACTAAATTTTTTTTATCCTTTTAACCAGAAAAGAAAGTTAGGAGGAGTTTATAACTAAATTTTCCTTAATGGGAAATTTATTCAATTTTAACTCTCTCAACTGTGTCCAAAATAACCTTAGGCTTGACCTAACTAAACTAAAATAATGGACACAATCTAACTAAGAAGTCCACCAAATACACAATTGGAGTAATGTATCGACCATGAAACTACTCTTACATGGTGGTGCACCTCAACTCTCTTCACACACGGCAACACTCTTCTTGATTTTCAGCTTTTCCCTTATAAAAAAACTCACTAATTTGATCATTGACCGTTCTCTGATCAGAAACAACCAATTGGATGGCATTGACAGTATTTTTTATTTTTTATGTTTTGTAGATCTATGAGATAAAGCTCATCTCTTCATTGAATCTCATAATCAATCAGTGTGGACCAATTTTTAAGTTTTGAAAATTATCACATAATCAAATAAATATGAAATTTAGAGATATGATTAGCCGATCGAAAATAGCATCAGCCAACTTCATCAAGCATTAGTGCAGAATAATGATATACAAATAAAAAATAAAATAAAAAATCATACAATACAAAATATCTATCTATAAATGGTATTTTCATTTTAAGTGCAGGCTTGAAATCT